TTAAGTTATGTGTCCCATCTTATATGAGGGACAAAACTGTCTTTCTTGTAACTCTAAGTTTTATGAATAAAATTCAAGTGGGTCGGCTAGGAGAGTGATTTTTTCACATTCTCTCTTCTAGTCTGGCTGAAGACTCTTCTTCTTTCTCTTTTCTTTCTTCTTCCTTCTCTACTTTGACCTAGAATCAACTAGGGTTTATTCACACAAATGAATAATGAAAACTAGTAGCAAAAAAAGAACAATGGATAAACCATCTACCTTCTATGCATTAAAAGCAGCAATAAACCAACTAGAAACAGAAACACAGAAGACAACTGGAATGAAAAACTTCTAAATTCACAGGAAAAAAGTAAAATATAGGGATCAAGAACCAATCTGATAAAAGAATAAAAATGAAATTAACAGTTGGAGCATTATTTTGATGAAAGAGAAAAAAAGGTTCAAAATTTTGCCATGAAATAGAAAACAAGGTTCAAAATAGAAAGCATTATTTTGGCGCACACAAAGACAACATATAATTAAAAAATTCCAGTAGTAGTAAAACTAAGATGAAGGAAACTTAAACAAACCTTTGCAACCTCAAGGAAACCTTTGCAAGTGTCCTCAAAATTAACCTGCAAAAGAAGCAAGGAAAACAAAAATCTAAAAATTAAGGATACATGCATGTCTTTATTATATGAACTCAAATCCCCTATTCATCTCAAAGACAAAAGAAATAAGCCAGATTCTAGAACTGTTTAACTTCATTACTTGGTAATAAGGATCTAACACATTACAATTAGATCTGGGGGATAAGTGTTTACCCTTTTTACAAGTTATTCTCTTTACCGATAAATGTACATGTGCATTCATGTGGCAATTTCAGATAACAACAACAATAATTTTAGTATTTTTATCAAAACCCATGTAACAAAGACAAGTTCTTAAAACATGTTTGTAATGGTAGATTTGTTGCTTTTTTACCTAAAGACCTTGCATTAAGTCTTCTTAGTTTATATCAATGTTTTCAACTAAAATTTGACTCATCCAGTCAGACTAATTGGCGTATCATCCAAACAAACTTCTGAGTCTATCTCAACCCAAATCACTTTATTGCAAAAAACCATTTGGCTTGGTCAACAACTAGATGACCTAACTAATTGAATTGTTAACCTATTTGCTAATCATCATTTTTTTTTGTATTTTTAAACATTTTCATAATTAATAATAATTCACATTTTCACACATTTTTGCTTAATATGATGAACATATGATATTATGGAAATTATATATCTCCATAATATATAATTTCAATAATAACAAGTTCAAATCTTCTACAAAATTCATGAAAATTTCTATATTGTCTTTTTTCAATTTTTTATTCAATTTAGAGATGTGCATAAATTGCAAAAGTTTCTGTATTTTTATATTTTCTATGTTTTTATTTTTACTATTTAACTATGAAATCATGGGTTGACCCATTTGACCTAGATGGTTGAACTGTTGACCCACCGCCTGGATGGGGAAATGGTTTCATTTCATAGTAAATTTTAAATATTGCATTCATTTCCATCATTTATAAAATATATTTCTTATTTGTCATACTTAATTTTTGTTTAATATGATAAATAGAAGAATAAAACCTTATATTAAAAGGAGAACTTTATAAAACAGTTGTAAGGCTGACTATGTTGTGTGGAGCAGTGTTGGGCAGTCAAGAAACATGTCAAAGAAAAAACAAGTGTGGCAGAAATGCATATGCTAAGATGGATGAGTAGAAAAAATAGAAAGGAAAAGGTTAGAAATGAAATCATTCTAAGGAACCTAGGAGTAGCTCCCACCTCCAATAGGTGATAAAATGAGAGGAAGTAGACTAAGATGATCTGGTCACCTGCATAGAAGACCTTTGACAACACACATAAGAAGAGGTGATTTGTTGCAAGTTGAAAGGGCTAGAAGGGGTAAGGGTAGACGAGGACATGGGTCAAAGTAGTAAGAAATGATTTAAGTGCTAACAATTTAATAATGGATGTGGATGGAAAAGGTGTGGGATCTTGTAGACTAGGCATTTTTAATTGAAATTTTGAGAAATTGTGGTTTTGGGGAGATATGGTGCAAGTGGATTAGAGATTATTATAGACCTGTCATTACCAATGATTGTTAATGGAGTTGTGAAGAATTCTTTTGGGGCCATTAGAAGCTTGAGACAAGGAGATCCACGATCCTCCTTTCTTTTCACTCTTGTAGCAGATGTACACCTAGCAATCGGGTCAGGTCAGGTTGGATCAGATCAAAGCATTTTCGAGTCATTTTAGGTCAGGTCAGCTTTCGGGTTTGGTCAACAAAGGCTAGACCCTAACCCTAAATATTCAGGTTAGGGTGCCCCATGGGTCAAACAGGTCAATGTTGCAACCACTTGGGCCAATTGGTCTTCAACCAAACCAACAGTTTTTACCAAAAATATGAGTTTAACTGTCTGGTTCAAACAATTTAAACAGTTCGACTGTTTGGATCAACAGCGATTTAAAAACTGGTTTGAACATAGGTGACTTAGTGATGATCGGGCCACCTTCTACCTCGGGTCACTACATAGGGGATCCTAACCTAATGTATTAAGCAGACTCATCTGAAGGGTGGAAAGAATGCATTTGGATAGAGGGTAGAGAGTATGAAGGGATAGAGCTGTAGTGACACATTTGCAATTTACAGATGATATGATTCTGGTTTTAAAGCTTGTGGTAAAGTTAAATGGGACTAAAAGCATGATAGAAAGTTTAAACATAGGGGGAAATGAATTAGAGTCTTGGGCAGCAGCCTTGGGGTGCATATGTAGTGAGTGGCCAGTGAATTACTTAGGGCTCCCCTTGGGTGCAAACCCTAAATTTGTTAGCTTCTACAACTCAATAGATGAGAAAGTGGAAAAGATATTAAAAGAAACTATATCTCTTAGGGATAGGTTAACTTTGATAGTCCACCATGGATAATCTGCCTCTATACTCTCTCTCTCTATGTTCAAGATGCTTCAAGCGGTTGTGAAAAGAATAAAGAAATTGATGAGAAACTTCCTTTGAGAACCAAGAGAGGGGAAGAAGAACAATTTGGTTAGGTGGGAGATAGTGGCTAGAAGAAAATAGGATGAAGGCCTGGGAATAGGGAACATTAGCATGAAGAAGTGAGCTCTCCATGGGAAATGGTTGTGGAGGTTTTCGTTTGAGATTGATAAGTTGTGGCATAAGGTTGTGACTAGTATTCATGGGCTCTCACATAATGGATGTCAGATAATGGCTTATGGCATAGAGCTACCCTTGCTTCTCCTTGGGAAGATTTGCGGATTGGGGAGTCTCCTTTGAAAGGTTTGTTTCCCTCTGTCTTTACCATCTCTAGCCTTAAAGGTAAACCCATATATGACTTTGTCATCCCTTCTTCCTTACCGCTTGGACTTGACTAGAGTTTGGGCTTCAAGAGAAAACAAAGAAAATCTGAAATCCACTCCGTTTCTTGCCTTCTGAAATTGTTAGATGGAGTGGTTCTTGAAAATTCTAAGGGGGACAAATGTCTTTGGGCTCCAAATCCTGAAGGAAGTTTTCCTTGTGCATCATTCTTCAATTCATTGGTCTTGACTAATTCCCCTATTGGGTCCTTTCCTATTAAGTTTGTGAGCCCCTATTCCACCTAAAGTCAGAACCTTTTTTTGGGAAGTCTTCCATGGAAGCATCAATACTTGTCACATATTGCAAAAAATGAGACCCGATCAGCCCCTTCTCCCCCTAAGTGGTGTATATGTGCAAATTGAATGGTGAGACTTCCTACCACCTACTTATATCATGTCCTTTGGCATGTTGTATTTGGAATTGGTTTACTGCTCTTTTTGGATGTAAGTGGACTCCTCCTACTACCTTGGGTGGATTTTTTTATGCTTCCTTGATGAGGTGCACAAAGAAAAGGGGACAGTAAATGTGGAAGAGAACAAGGGCTGCAGTGATATGGACTCTATGGGAGGAAAGGAATGCAAGAATTTTTGAAGAAAAAGAAAGGAGTATAGAAGTGCTGATAGAAAACATTACTATAAGTGTAGCACATTGGAATTGTTTTCAGATTTCACACTTGATGACATACTCAACAATTGGGGGGCGGTTGCAACTTCTTCCAAAAAACAAAAATTGTTAGAGTAGACAGCACCAGGTAGAAGTTGGTGGAAGTTAAATTTTGATGGGAGCAGTGTGGGCAACCCAGGTCATCTGGTGTTGGGGGAGTAAATAGGGATGAGAATGGTAGTATTCTTGCAATGCATTTAAGTCCAATAGGTGAAGGGGATTCAGTAAGGACAGAGATGAAGGTAACAACCATTGGGGTGCAAAAGGCCAAGGAGATGGGAGAACAAAGATTGATTGTAGAAGGCAATTCTAAAGTGGTTACTGGTTGGCTATTAGATGGGATGGAGACAGCTTGTTGTTTCAAAAATGAAATTAAGCGGTTTAAATGGTTTTCAAAGGATATGCAGATTGAGGTCCATTGGGTGCAAAGATCAGAAAATGGCTGATGGTTTGGCAAAACAGGAAGTTAATAGGCAACAGTTCTTTTGGGAAATGCTGTAAAATGTTGTAAAATGCAAAGGATGAGTGGGATAGCAGAGGCTATATTTGACTTCTCTTTGATAGTTATCACAACCACTTGTATCTCTGTCTAATTAATGAATGAATCTCTTCTATTGTTGCCAATCAAAAAAATTACTTATGGATACAGCATTAGAAAGATGGAATGACAAAACATGATTCATGTAGCCAACCCCAAATAGTTGGGATAAGGCTTGGATGATGATGATGATGATGATTTATCATACTTTTGTTTAATATGATGAATATATAATTTTAGGGGATGGGAATAGGGTTGGATTCTCAACTGATGCTTGGTCTGATGACAGATCCTCGAAGGATAGTTTTCCTTAGCTGTTCAACGTTTCTCAGAACATAAATTGGTTAATGATGGAGAACCATTAAATCTTCAAAGGCAGAACTGATTGGAAGCCCTTGTTTAGAAGGCACTTGAATGACTGGGAACCTTTGGTGGTCTTCTCCAGAAGTTGGAGTTTTTTTTCAGATAAATCTTCCAACAATCAGATTGCAAGGTTGAATTCTGGTCATTTTAGTGCTCCACAGATTTGGTATTCAATAGCTCCTTCCAAGGTATCATTTCTTGTTTGACTTATCAATCTGGTCAATCGGTATGCTGTTACTTTATTATACTAAAGTAAATTAGTACTTCAAAAAGAACAAAGCATGGAGTTTATTCAAACATAGCCTTAATCTTCTTCAAAAACATATATAATATTAAAGGTCTGCCAAAATTTTATTTTCAGCAAACCTTCTGTATTTTCTGTATCTATTTTAAATTTTTACTATTTAATTATGGCATCATGCATAGATCCATTTGACCTGGATGATTAAACTGCTTACCTGCCATGTAGATGGAAAAACAGTGTCGTTTCCAGGTCAGTTTAAAAAATATAGGTTTAATATTATTGAAATTATTGGGTACAGATTTGAGTAGTGGAATTTAATGGTGAGAAACCAAAATACCTTAGATTTAGGATTTAATGAGAGAGATGGGAGTTAATATCAGTGACAAAGTAGTGCAA